GGTTGTTGCTTCGAAGGAGCTCTTGAGCCAACACTATTTTTGTACAAAAAAACTGTACCAAAACCTTGCAAGTACGAGTGAAACCAGCACTGAACGCCTTCTGGTCCAAGTCCTGTAGTCGACCCAATCGTGTACGTCTTGAGTTATTTACCACCCCAACACCACCAACACTGTTAGAACAACAATCTGGGCCCTTCGGGGTCATGTGCCAAAACCGGCAGTTTTTAGAACGTGGGACCCAAGTGCGACAAGGTTACCATTCGTTTTTCACATCCCTTCCATCTTAGCCATGACAGCTGGCACTGGTTCCTTTTCGCAGCTTGGCCAGATCCGCAGCTTGGCCGCCAAGCTTTTCTTGGCTACAACCTCTTGGGTTTTGAGGCAAAAACTTGTTGTATCAACCTGTTTTGTGGGATGGTTTTGGGGACAGGAATGGAATCTCTGGCGAAGAACCCCATTTGGGCAGCTAGGGAACCACATTGCCTTGCCTCAGCACCCCACCCCTGAATTGAGAAAAAAATGCGACGCCAAACCAATCAGGTAGCGCTGGAGCGACCTTGTAGTTACGGTCGACCCGTGACAATTCCGTGCAATCTTCTTTAGTTTTCCTAAAAAAGACTCTTCCTTCCAACAATGGAAGATGCGAGGGTTAACTCTAAACATCCCCACGTCAACTGCTATGCGCCACAAGCAGTGATGCTTCGGCCGCAATTTGAAGGCCATCACATCTCTCTCCCAACAATATGATGCTAACCACGCTGTCGATCTCAGGTGTAGGAGAAGAAGACGAGACATTTCCTTAAAGTGAAACAATTGCTTTCGGGGTCGTTGCGCAAAGGTTTGGGGGCAGGCCAATTGGTTAAACAGTGAAACACCAAAATTTTGGCAGACTGTGACTAGAGTCTGATGCTTCTGATGGGCGGAGCAAAAGGCCACCAGAGTCCATGATCTCAGTCACCTTTGCCAAGGACCAGCAGCAGCTTTCGAGAATCTTCATCGCGGCGCTGTCCTTTGGCAGCAAAGCCGGGAAAGATGTATGTCGGGCTGAGAATGAGCGGTCGGGGCCAACCAAAAAAAGTTCGATGTTTGGGGTAGCAAAGCTAAGGAACCGAGGTCTGGGACAACTCTCCAACCTTCACTGAAAGCCACCAGGTCATCTTCTTGATATGATGCGCTTTGAACCGGGTTCCCAGCTCACAATAGTTTGCATGACCAAATGTTCCACAGTTGGCCAGAATGAGGATGTGTCGAAATAGATAGAGCCTTACTTGGCCCCCAAAAATGGCATTGACGCATCACCCTTCACCACGAAACTCTCACAGAAACAAACAACACGTTTCCCTGAAATTGTAAAAAGGGGCCCATGTCGTTTACAGGTCTCTTTCATCTCCAAACTGGTGCGCCTCAAAAACTCTTCCGTCGTCTCATCAGCTTTGTAATGAAACCC